TGGTTTCAAGAAGCCAAGCCCAACATTTTGGTAACAGTGTGATTTCAGCTTTCTTTTGCCTAATATATATGTGACCTCAGAGCAATCAGGTGACCTCAGAAAGTAAGCCCCGCCCCCCCACTCCATTTTAGGTAAAAGCTGCAACCTCTTTTCTCATGGAAGTGTTGACATACTGTAGCTGTAGAGGTAACAACGAGGTACTTTGTTTCTGTGCGAAGCCTTTTGCACCTGGAAAACTTGGCTTGTGGGTGGCTCTCACAGCACTTGGCTCTGCAGGTGGGGAAACGGGGCATGAAGAATCGAAGGGACTTGCTCAAAAGCATCCAGGAGCAGAAACGGGGTCTCCTCTGTCCCCGTCTAATGCCGTATGTGCTGCTACGGCCTTCCTTTCAACAGCCAGAGCTACTGGGAGCAGCCCAAAAAAGAGAGTGAGAAATTCTACTTGCGTAGTTGTTCCAAGCTGGAGCTTTAAATGTTTTAAGTGGTAGGTGCTGACTTTAATGTGCCTGGCTAGAAGATGGTAGGCGGTGGGTCTGCAGCTCAGAGAGGTGGAACGTGGCCGTGTTTCTTGGGAACGGTGTGTTTTTGCGAGGGGGGACGGGCTGGGGAGGAGCAGGGCTGTGGCCGGGGACGAGGCCGAGGGAGCTGCTCTAGCCCGCGTCGGCTGCGCGCCGCTTGCTTCACCTGGGGAAGGGCGTGAGGCATTCGATACCCACAGGTAAAATTAAAGCGCACCCTGATCTCGCAGCTGTTCAAACGAACAGGAGCTTTTCTACAGGCTGAGGTGAGGATGGCATCAAGCTTTGTGCCAAGGGAAAAACGTTGTTGGCGAGGCATGTACCTAGCTCTCTGCTCCTATGCCTATCTCAAGCGAGACATATATACTTGATTGCTTTTAAACAGGGTGCAGAGGAGATCCCGAGTCAGTGCAGGATTACGCTCAGGATAAGCTTTTACTGGAAAAGGCTCATAAATGGTTGTCCTCTTCTGCCTTTTGGGAGAACTAGGCAAGGATCCCCCTTTCTTTGTCTCTGCTGCCCATGAGCTGCGGAGAAATGCTTTCCCTTCTCTTGCGCTCTACTCTCTTGTGGGAAAGTTAAAAATTCTGTTTTTTGAAATGTGGGTTTAAACAATTTCCTGTCTGCTTTCACAGCTAGTTTTCCCCGCTGGTACTTCAAGACGGTGTAAGAGCCCCCAGGACCACTGTGAGGAGTCGGACCTCTGTGTGCCCAGGCCACCCTTCAAGTCCTGCTTCACCGTTCCTCGCAGGGGCACTTCTGATCTGAGCACTGACTTCCTCCTCGCTCCTATTTTAAGACCCCATGTGCCCACGTCGGTCTGATCAGTGATCTGCCTGTCAGTTAACCAAGACATGCTCCTTTGGGGCTTCACCTACAGATAGGCATTTATCACCCAACTACATGCCCTGGCTTTCTTCCTGGTCCCATCACGTAACCTGACGCATGGAGTTTTTGGGTTTGACCTCCTTGAGAGGGGTCTGAGGAGGGTCCAAATGTTCTATGTCCTGGTGGGAGCAGGGTGTCCTCCTCAGTGACTTGTGCTCTCCTGAGAATTTTACCTTTGAGCCAAACCCTTTGATAATCTCAAGAGTGGATCTTACACTGACAATCACGCTAAGTCTTTTAAGGATTGGTTAGAAATGGATGCAGTTATTCTCGATGTATGATGGTGTAGGATGATGTATTCAAACCACTGTTTGCCTTTGTGGAGCTTTTAAGAACACCTTATCTAGCTGATTATGCTGTGTTTGCTTGATGGTTATGAAACTCATTGCAGCATCATCTCTGCAAGCAAGAAAATATTAGCAGTAAAATAAGAGTTGAGAAAAATTGATATTAAATTGTATCCAGCATCATGTCTTGGAGAACAGACCTGAAGCTTGAGATGGACCCCATGTGTCTTTTCAAGAAAGACAAAGAAAATCAGATTATTCTTTTCATTAAGCCTATTTTTTCTTGTTTTTCCCAGTGCAGCGAGAATGTACCCAGAAGAAAACCTTCACTAGCTGGATAAATTCAATCTTGGCAAAGGTAACGTGGGGATTCTTTAGGAAAGACTTTTTTTTTTTTGCCCTTTTAATTCAAAAGTGCTCTGTGGAGGTTAAAATTTGTAGGAAAAAACAGAATTAATTTAAGCTTTTAGGCAGTAACTGGAAAAAGTTGCCCTTGGAAAGCATTTGTTTAATAAGTGCAAGGGCATTGCATCAGTGAGTCTAAGGACATTCATAAGACAGGGTTCATAAGCAGATGAGAGTATCTTTCTCACTGATCTAGTAAAACATATTTCCTCTGCCTACGGACCTTGTGCTAGGTTGTGGCGCACATATGCCAGACAAGGTTTTATGATGTTCTGTATTTACAATTAGTTTTACTGTGTTTAGGTAAGAATTATTCTACTATGCAATTCAAGAACATGAGTTTAATGGGATGACCCGAGTGGCAAATGAGTATTAAGAGAACTCGCATGACAATGTGGGTGCTCTTTAAGCTTTCATGGAGCAGCTCATGCAGCGAGCGTTGGGGATCTGACTTTCTCAAGCCAAATAATGCTGTTTTCGTCCCTCCTTGAGCAGAAGCCATTGAGCTCATGATAGGTGTGTGTTGTCCAGAACTGGTGAAAAGGGTGGGGGTCAGTTATTCAAATCTATACTTGAATTGGAACTCAGGATACGTTGATTAAAAAGTCAAAATATGAATTAACTGCTTTTCTTGAATCTCCTTTTGTTCAGAGTTACTGTATTTTGACAGATACCTCCTTGAAATGCATAAATGCTTGAAAACAAGGCCTAAAATAACCCCCGTTAAAATCAGAAGCAGGGGCAAGAGGGTGTAAGAGACAAGGACAGTAATAGGTCAGAATGAGCAGGATATGGGAAATTAGATGTGGGATTTGTATTCCAGCCTATTGAAAAATAAAATATGCTAAAAGTATTTTTTAAGAACAAAGTGAAGCAACCTCTGATGTTCTACAGTGTGATGTTTTCAGAATGACAAAAGATGGTGTGACAAGCATTGAAACTTATTTTGCAGCATACACCGCCTTCTGTTATCTCAGACCTGTACACAGATATACAGCAAGGACATTTGCTTTTGGATTTGTTGGAAGTACTTTCAGGTCAACATCTGGTAAGTCAGAGTAATAAAAATATTACATCAATCCTTGGTCGTATCTGGCAAAGATTTCTGGATATGCTTAATTATAAGCAATGATCAGTCCGGAGTCATGGAGCTATTCACAAGTATCTTAATCTTACATCAGTGGCATTTAATCGTACCCTTGATACTAGTTCATTGCAGGTCATTCATGAATATTTGCAAGACTTCCTTTATCATAATATAAATTAAAATAGAATATTGCATGTTCTTTTTACTTTACAGCCACGGGAAAAAGGATGTAATACCTTCCAGTGCAGAAGCAACATAGAAAATGCTTTGACATTTCTAAAGAGCAGATCAGTGAGTATTAACTTCAAAATTCACAACTAAAGCCAGTTTAGCTGGTGGAACATTTTCATTGTTAACAATGATTCTTTTTTTTTCCCAGCTCAAGCTCATAAATATTCATGTTGCTGACATTATTGAAGGAAAACCTTCCATTGTGCTTGGCCTAATTTGGACAATTATTTTTCATTTTCATGTAAGTATTTCAGCAATGTGAGAGAGAGTTTTAGTAGAGGGGAAAAGCACAAAAATGTGTTGACTTACATAGCCACCAAATGAGGTGAATTAATACAAAGCAGAAGATTATTTTCTGACATCTTGAAGCGATGGCCCAGGGAAGAGACGCGCCAATGCGACCTGTCTGTGTCTCTGAGCTGCTTCCTAATTCAATGATGGAGTTACAGTCTGATGAACAATATCTAATTCAAAAGGGTTGAATGGGCAGATATCAATATTTTTAAAATAACAAGTTTTAAAAAAATAGGCTATTCTTTGCCCATTTGTTTAAGGCCTGTGATGATTAAGCGCCAAGTAGGATGAACAGTGCAAAGTGGCTCGCATCCGCCCTCTCAGAGGCAGCCCCCCTCTATGATGTGTTGGCTGTGCTCACGCTGTATAATACTTGCTATTCTGTTTTTTAGTACCAGGTGTCTGAAATAGCACAAAGGCTGTCTTGCAGCCTGCCATAATGATGGTTCCGTTTCAAGATACTTAGCATCTTGCATGGCGCAAGGACATGGGGAGGAGGGGGTATCTGAAGGCACAGGGCCTTTCTGGGATTGTGTTGGAGAACAATAGAGAGTGATAGAGCCAAACTGCCTTCTAGTAAAAGTCCAGCAGAGAACTAACATAGGTGCACTGCGGGTGAGCTGGGGACTGGCACTCAGGAGAGAGCCAGAAAGAGAATTTATTTAACAGTAGTAGATGTATTCCGCATTTTTCTTGGTAGAGGTACTTTGCCATTGAAAGTTCTCGTGCTGCACACACCCAGAGGTTCAGGCTTCTTTTTGCCTGAACCAAGCTTCTGGGTATGTTAGATGTCTGAGGTCTGTGAAGTAGTCTTTCCTGCACCCCGAGTGAGCAGGCAAGCTCTGAACATGCTTGACACGCGACGTTATGTCAACAACACACAACACAGCCACCACAGGCTGCTTTTAGTGGTAGGAGGAGTGGGAAAGCGCATTGAGTAAAAAGTTCCTTTACTGCCAGTGCTGGTGTCCACATGGATGGAACTGTCTTGGGTGAATATTTCCTGCCAAAAGAATCACCCAAACGCAGGATTCAGCATGATATAGTTCAACTTGAACAGATAAACCCCGGCAAAGACTTAGAAATGTGATCTGATCTTGGTGGGTAGATGGCTACGACCCCAGCTGTAATTGAGTCCTATCTAATTCTCTGTGGTTTTCTGCAATTGAGGTCTTGGTGAGTTTTCACTGAAACCTGATAAAACTCTCCTGTGGTCTCTAATAGATTGAAGAACTTGCCAGGACACTTGCTTGTACTTACAATCAACCGTCTCTTGATTGTTCAAGTGCTGTTGACTCCTCTCCAAAGGCAAGCAGATCAGCTAAAAAAAGTGCAAAAATTAAGGAACAATGGAAGATCTCTGCAACAAAGGCCCTTTTGTTGTGGGCAAAAGAGCAGTGTTCACTGTAAGTTCCATCCAAGATTTATAAATAGTATCTTATGTTTTGTATTTATTGCTTTCCTCTATAACGTAGTGAAGTTTTCCCCTGTTTTTTTTAACATTTCTTAGTGATGGCTTAGCAGAAAATCTTTAGAATTCAGATGACGTTAGCAGCACTTTTGGCATCAGTTGGGCCCTGGGTGTTTTGACATGAGCCCTTTCAACATAAGAAGTTGAGGCTAATCCTGCTAATAAAACATCATGATGTAAATTGTGGGGTTTGGCTTTTCTTTTTTAGGGGCTTACAGTTTTCCGTGTCATGATTCTAGTGGAAAGCTTACATAATTTGTGAGTTTTAATCCTCATAGTAGGCCGTGGGTTTCAGTTTCACGAAGTTTCAGTAATTAAAGGATTTTTATAAAATGGAAAATGTAGGGTTTCTAGGCTTCCCGCTTTTCATATTCTTCTGTCGAACGCTGCGCGATCCCCAGGAAGGATCCTAATGAATGTAAGAGATCCTGGTCCCCAGTTCTAACAAGATATTTGCTTATCCCTGATGTATGCAGTGCCTGGCTCTGTTGATTTCAGTGGGAGCGTTCACAGCACATGATCTAAAGCAGATACAGGTGTTGCTTGGAAGAGGCAGGCTTTACATTTTGCATTTTCTTCAAGGGCTAATGCTTCATGCAAAGACATTTCAAATACACTTTACAATAACATCAGCTCTTTCTTTCCAGGTCTGGTTGCTTTATATTCTAATACCATTCTCTAATGTCCTGTGTTGTTAGGGGGAGATAAAAGCTGTGGTCTGCCTATCAGACATTTTCTGTGGAGAGAACGTTTTTAGGCATTGAATCTTACCTTTTAGCTGAGTTTTATCAGTACGAGATTGGCATGTAAAAAACAGTTCTCTCTCCTTTTAATCTTCCTCTTCCTTTTGCTTATTTTCATTTTTCAGCAGTATTGCTATCTGTTTTGTAGGATTCTTTCTAAATTCTGATTACATGGAATAGTTTTGTTTCCGGTGAATCCTATTTTGTTTTGTAAAAGAACCGATCTCATAAATCCTGTCTCCTTGCTTTGTAACTGAGTTTGATTACTTGAGCCCTCACATCTTTTCCGCACAGTAGTGTACTCACAATACATAAGCTCTTTCTGGAAAGCTGTCTCAGAAATCACTGTGACTTACACAGTCGTCTGGGCACCTCACAGCGCTGTCCAGGCACCACTTAATAGAAGATGTTTTAAAGACACCCAAGCAAATAAGGGAAAAGGAAACATGTTTCCTGCAATAGTCTAACATTTTAAGGACTGGATTTTCTGAAAGGCCAAATGTGTCCAATACTCAGTGGCTTTACAGACAAATTTATGCTCACTGTTGCAGCAACTTCAGTGCTTTGTTTATTGTTTTTCCATCGCATAGGATGCATAGACAGCAAGAGCCACGTTGGGGCTCAGAACGGGTGTTGGATGAGCAAGGCTTTCTCTTCAGAATGCAGCACAAGTTAAAAGCGTTATGTCATTTTGCAAAAATATTTTAAAAACAAAGTGTTTGTAGCAACTGGTTATATTGGTTGTATCACTGACTGACCCAGCTTCTGCAGAATTCAGTGGCAAGGTTTTCTGTAACTACTTGCATTTGGATCACACCCTGTTTTACTGAATTTATACTGTGTTTCTACATTTGTACTTATGACAACCGAGAATCAGGCTTTGACATGTTATTTGTAATTGTTTTTGGGGTAGGCACGGTTCTATCAGTGTGACTGATTTCAAGTCAAGCTGGCGAAGTGGACTGCCTTTTTTAGCCATCATCCATGCCTTAAGACCAGGTCTAGTTGATATGGAGAAGGCAAAAACTAGAACCAATAAAGAAAATCTGAAGGAGGCTTTCAGAATTGCAGAGCTTGAGTTGAATATTCCACGGCTTCTTGAACCTGAAGGTAAATGATCTGGGTTTTTATCTCTTTGTTGTAAGGAGTGTGATATAGTCTGATACGTGTTGGCTTGTAACACAGGAAAAAATAAGGCTATGTTCAGATTTGAAATGAAACATTGATATTTACTGTAATGCTCAAACCTGGTGCTCTTGATTGTATAACACAGAGTGTACTTCAAATTTTGAGGATTTTTTAAATTGACAGGAAATGCAGGAACAATATGCGGAAGAAAGGATATGAAACTTCCCCATTCAAAGGAGAAGCTGTTCATTAGTTTATCAAGTTGTATTACAGTATTCCAAAGGAAAAAAAAAATCTATAACATACTAATTTCTGTCAATGGTATTTTAACTAAATTGCTGAAAAATAAGCATGTTTATGCTTAGTGTGTTTTAATAACTGCACTATAGCGTGTAATTATGTGATCAGGCCCTGAGGACTGTATAATTATGTTAATGGTGTATTGGCTCTTGTAGATGTTGACATTATGAATCCAGATGAAAAATCAGTCATGACTTACGTGGCTCAGTTTTTGCAATACTCCAGGAATTTGCCTATATCTGAAGGAGACATGCAGGTATGTCGTGTTTTATCACTGAGACACTTTTAAACGATTCGTAGTTGCCAAGAATTTCGGTACTTTCTTTGCCCATGACTCAGTAACCATTATCGTTCATGGTTTGATCCTCTGGTGCAGCCACTTACAGGGCTGAGCTGGTTTGAACCTCCTGATGCTCCTGTGTGGTACCCAAGACTCAGTGTGATAGATTTTTGATGGCACAGGTGGAATTGCAGTGCGGACTGTCTTGTTTGCCATTTAACTCTTCCAGAGGACATTTTCAAACCTGGTTGCCTTCATGTACAGTCTAAAGTCTATATTTAAGTATCTGGGTAGAGGGGGACTGATTTGCAGATGTGCAGAACAACCAGCTTTGAATTGAATAGCTCACGTGTAGAGCAGACAGCAGTTGTCATTCACAGAGGACACCAGTTTCAAAACCAAGTTCTCTCTTCTCTGTATTCTCACATGATAGTTTATGCATTAGTTGACTGTTCACATATCTCTGTGCTGATAATCCCCTTTTAATATGACTGCATTCAGGCTTTTCGGTTAAGATGCCTTTATATATGCAGGTGCCAGGCTTAAAACTTTGGCCTCGCTCTAAAATAGTGGCTGACGCAAAACTCATTAGAGCCCCCAAGAATTTTTCTTTGTTTTTCAAAAGATTTGAATGAGGTTTATCATATGTTCACTTGTGTGTTGTTTTATGGCACAATGTAAATTAAAAACAGGGCTTGCAAAATGGAAGAATGAAATTTTCTGCTCTGATTACCAGGGAAAAGTAAGAGAGGCCATAAGCTGGTTGGCTGCACAAGGAAAGAAGTTAGAAAAGTTGCTGATTGACACAGAGAGTGAAACATATTACCAGAAGTACAAAGTAAGTCGCATTTCACTGACCCTTTAAAAATATTTAACTGCTTAGTCAAAAAGATTTATTAAAAATATATCCTCAGAAACATAGCTTTTCATGTTCATTTCCTAAACTGAAATTTAAAATAAACTTTTAAACGAAAGAGTTGGAAACCGGAGATTGAATTTGGTAAACGCACCAAAATGATTAAGGGAAGATTTGGAAAATGTTATTTCTGTAAGGAAATAGGTATATACTGTTTGGTTTCTGAGCAGAGCAAGGTTTTTGGAGAGGATAAAGTAGTGTCTTTTAGTTAATTGACGCAATTGGAAGACATGGACAAGATTCAAGCACATAGGCCCTTTGCAGTGTCACCTTCTCCATTGTTGTGAGAATGATAATGGTAGGTTTTCTCAACTAGAGTCACAGAAGGGTATTTGAAATGTTGGCTATAGATTGCATCTAAACTAAAATTTCCTTTGGTTTATATGGCCTAATAGCCAGAGTTTGTAATTGAAAGGCCCATGTGGGACCATGAAGGGAGGAATTTTCCCCTTCTCTGGGTAAGAGGGGAGAAGCCATGTCCTGACTGCACTGGCGTTATATTAAATAAAGATTTAACTAGTGTATGACACCTGTGCTTTCAGACCCAAATGCTGCCTGTAGGTGAGTATGCCACCTTCTTGGTATCTTGCCTTTCCACGCATCACAGCCTTTGAAGTTAGTAGAAGTCATGCCGACGTATCCAAAGCCAATACTGAACTGCAGGAGTTTCCGTTTGAAGTTTTCTTCAATGAATTATTCTTTCTTTTTAACCGTAGGAAATGATGTCGTTTATGGAAGCATTTAACCAAGAAAAAAAAGCCTTTATGCCTGTGTTGTCGTCAAAAACGAGTGTAGCTGAGCTAAGCGAAGACCAGCAGCAGATGAGAGAAGAGTGGCATAAACTGATCTCTCAGGTCAGAGGCAGTTCTAGCTCTCTTCATTATCAGTATGACCGTGTTTGATGAAGAACACTAAGTCTGCCCCAGGAACTGACACGAGGGAAAAGAGGGGAAGTGATATCTTATTTGAACTGATAAAGGTGGGATTGACCCTGAACCTGAACTCCAGGCAGACTGAGTGGTATATAGTGCCCAAGAGGAGACAGAAAGTGGCTGTGTATTACCCTTCTACTTCCCAAGCCTCAGGACTGTGAGAAGTCTCCAAAATGTGGCCTGCGTCTGATTATCTTTGAATTTGAGCAGCCTTCACATCAGAGGTTTTGGCTATTTATGCTTAAAAGGTTCTTTTGGATGTAATTATGGCTCAGATAATGATGCAACTGGGAAAACTGTGTTAGAATAATCTTTCCCACAGCATGGATAGTGGTATAGTTAGATCTGGTCAGTGCTTTGCAGTGAGGTTGACTGTGTTATGTCTCTGTGCCTGAGGGAGGATGTGCTAGGCCTTGCTGATAATCTCTTCATGGCAGAGGTGTTTCACTGTCATCCCCTGTGATGGAAAGCTGTCCGCAGCATGCTTTGTTCACCTCCATTTTGCCAATAATTTACTACAGACTTTCCGGTTGTGGGGCTTTGAGGTGGTCACCAGCTGAGGATGGTAACTGCCGAACTTCTTGTAGCGTTTCAGAGATCACAGGCTGAGGAGCAAATCTGAGTCTCTGGTAAACATAGCTGATTTCCAGCAGCCTTCACTGGAAGCTCCTTTTCTGAAGGGTGACATTTTATTTTTCTGAGGTGTCTAGAGCATCAGCTTATGGAGCATATATCGGTACCTTGGGGAGGGGGAAGAAAGTAATAGTGAGAAATTTAATCCCTTGTTGTCTCTTTTAAGATTAATGAATGGAAAACAAAGCTGGACCAGATGTTGCCCCCTCCTCTGGATGGCATTGAGGCCTGGCTTCAGGAGATTGAACATCTGCAGGCAGAAGATTTGCCTGATTTGCAGGACCCCTTTAAAGCAATGTCTCTCTTCAGAGAAATAATTGTAATATTTAAGGTATGCTGATCACTGAAGGGACATTCCTCTCCAGTCTGACCTAGCAAAGCACTTGTTGTGGAGTTGATGTTGACATTTTGGGAAGTGGTGTGGATATGTTTATCTTCTGAAGATGAAGAGCCCTTCTGAAGATATCTTAGATTTTTGAACAATGAGTAGTTTAATTAAATAACTACTTGGGTCTATAAGGGAGGTTTCTGATTTCACTGGGGTGAGATTAAATTAAAATACTCTCTGAATGAGTAAATTGTGGTATTATTTTTTATGTGGCTCCTGCAGCTTGTTTGTTTGTTAAGTAATAATGCAGGTAACCACATGCTTATCTTTAAATCTATGCTTGATACATAGCTGTTCAGAAAAGCACTTGGGCTCAGGGTTACATTCCAGTGAGTTCATGCAGCTTATGTGGTTAAGTTAAGTGCTTGCTGAGTCAGTCTGCAATTCCACTCGCAGCAATGGAAGGTATTCTGATACCTCGATACCTTCCTTGCAAGTTGTTTGTTCTGATCTTGAAATCTTTACATTGATAACATTTTAAGCATCCTTTTGAGTGTGAAGACTTCAGAAAAAGTAGCTGAATGGATGCCTGATGGATCAATGTAATGTTGTACATTCTTTCTGTATGAACAACCATTGGGAAGGTGGATGTTTTTGTGCCATGTCCTTGATGTAGATTTGAAAGGATGTGAACTAGAAGTTTTTGCGAGTGACTTGTCAACACCACTTTTTTGTACTGTAGCTGGTCAGTTCCTGATGTGAGACATGGCTTTTTAATTGATAGCAGCTTTGCCAAACTTTAGCCATTTGATCTATGATTTGTGTTGTTCAGCCTAAGTAGTTAAATCATTTCTAAGAATGAGAGAAGGAAAGAGATCTAGTTGTTTTAGGTATTTTGTCCCATTGAACGTGGAGATAAAAGCATTATCTTCCTTAAGAAGAACCCCAAAACATTTAATTTCTGTCAGATCAGTTTTTCCTGATGGGAAGACATTCTCTTGAGAGCTTTTTGGGCTTTTT